CTTTTTGTTGGGCATATACTTGTAGATTAACTTCCTTTCATCTCCATGAACAACAGCCCAAAATCAAAATGAGATTCTGGCAATCAAAACTACTTCATTTTTCAAGTGAAATTCTAAAATGAGGCCTCCATATATGGACCTTAGAAGCGGACCACACATCTTCCAAAAGGTGTATTTGATAGTGAAATTTTTTGACAAGATCAAAGTAATCCAAGACTAAAACTAGGTCCTCACTTGAAGTCCATATATATGGACCTTATTATAGAACGACTCCATTCTTGAACTCTTCTAGACCATTTCCTGGTTATTGGATTGATAGTCAACCCTTACGCAACACCCAAAGCCCAATTCATCCAACTTGGGCCTGCTCTAAACAAATCTCAGCCCAAATTTGTTTTGCATATATACATACAGTCCCCTTCTATTGAGGGATCCCTCAAACACCCTTTAGGGTACCCTACGAATTTTTTTTCAACAATCCAAACCATCTATTTTTTACGTCTATATTCATAGATCATCTTTGCAAAGAATTAGACAAATCAGAAACCGTTTCGACATCCAATTGTGTCCTACAAAATCAATGAACACGGTGCTTCAAGAAAGTACTGAAAGTTCAATAACTCAATTGATTGGTCAAATGATATTGGAATCAAGTGATTTTTTGTAGAGATGATCTTTGAATGATTATCTAAAAAATAGACGATTTGGATTAGTGGAAAACAATGCGAAGTGAGCCCTACAAGGGTGTCCCTCAAATTATTTGAGGGACCCTTCAATGGAAACTCTCTGTATAGGGGAATGCAAGCAACCTTCTCTCTAACCTTCTCTTTTGTACCTTCCCTTTTCCTGATGACATGTGTCACTCTCTTTACACTTAAAACAATGTCATTAATGCATCTTACAAACTATCTTTTGTTTTCCAAATTTAATTACCCTTATTAAATGTATTAAATTTTATGTTTCCTTTAATTTATCCAAAAAAATTTAATAACTTTCTTATCACCTTATTTAATAACAAGAAAACTTGAAAGAACATGTCTATTTTTTTTCCATATAAAAAAAAAATCTGAGTAATAAAGCCCATAATTTTGTTGCACATAACAATTTTGAAAGAAAAACGTCACTTCAAAACCACAACCAAGTAAACAGCAAAAATATGACTTTTTTCTTATTTAATTTTTTAATAAGGTGGTAAGGAAATTATGAAGAAGAAAAAAATTTGGATAAGTTGAAAGAAAATGAAAGTCAATACATATAATAAGGGTAAATTTGAAAAACAAAAGAGAGTTTGTATGAAGCATTAATGACATAGTTTTAAATGTAAGGAGAGAATGACACATGTCATGAGGAAAATGGAGAAAGTCCAAAAGAGAAGGTTAAAGAGAAGGTTGCTAGCATTCCCCCTTTGTGTATATGTATGTATGTATATATATATATATATATATATATATACATACATAGGGTTATATATATATATATAACTACAAGAGATAGAGAAATTTCTCACACACACACTATCAAGGTGTCATGGAGGTTCTAAAACCTGAGACCAGTGATTTGCAAGTTAATGTTCTTTTCCACTGAACTAGACTCCGTTCGTGTTTTGCATATGTGTATTTTAGCGGTAAGTATGATAGAGAAATTGATTGTTGGAAACATGAATTGAAAATCACTATTGTCCTTTGAAGAATGGCAATAATTGAAAGAATGCATTGAAAACTTGGAATGTCAGTCATGCCATTGAGTTTTTTTTATTTGGGTGTAAAACCACTCCCTAGTACCCAGCAGATTTTGAAAATTTTCATTTTGCCCCTTGAAACAAAAACCAATATGATATAGAATTTTGATAGGTTTTTTTAAGTTTAAATTTTTTTAGCTTTCTAAACTACCATAATCTATGGAGCAGGGAATTCGAATTTGGGTGCAAGTGATGTAGAGCAAATGGCAGAAGCAATCGAAAAGGAACTGGAGAAACGGGTGTGCAAGGGTAAATCAGGAAAACTGCAGATTTGGGCTTCGAGCTCAAAACGAGGACCATGATCCGTCGATTCGAAGAAAATGGCGTCACGAGTAAAATTCATCACTCCGCCATGACATATGGACTTTTTCGGACATCCAAAGTTATATGTTCTAGGCTAAGGTTTTAGTCAATCTATTACCACGTTGTGTCAGCAAGGGTGCAGAATCATTGTCATAGTCAACTGGCCTAACTCACATCTTGCTCATGTATTTTTTTAGCTTTAGTATTTTACCATAAACAATAAACCCGTATATGAGTATATTCAATTAGATTTGTAAATTGTAATACACGTACGACTCAAAAAGAAGAAGTAGAAATTTTGTGGGATCAATAAATATGTCCCCATTCAAATTGTTAGCAACTATTTCCATTTCTAGATATATCCATTGTAGCTATAAGGACAGTCAAAATATTTGGCACAAGACTTGAAATACATGGTTAGCAGGAATGGGGAGCGTCAAAAAACGCAATGAGTGATCTGAAATATATGTTGTGGCTGTACTCTAACAAGGAAGAAGGATAAGAAGGATGCTGCACTGAAATTTCCCTTTTCGGTTGGGACTGATGCAAGCAACCAAATCAATGTGAACGTTACCTCATCGACTCATCACCATCAAATTTAACTTTGAAATATTTTAACAACAAAGATTTATTTTAAAACGAAAGTGCAACATCAGCATGGTGTGCAATTATAATTTATATATGATGCAAACAAGCTGGAGAAGAGAAGGGCTGCCTATACTTTTGAATGCACTTGCTAATCAAGCTGGACGTATTTCAGATGTCACTATGCCAAAATTGACATTTAGCAATGGAGCATCTTTCCAGAAAGAAAGCAGGTTGTTTAGGCCAAGCCAAATTTTGCTCCCTCGTTCGCCAACATGAAAACTGCAGATGACATTCCTGGCCTGTCTGCTGGGAATTTCTGAACACATAATTGAAATTGATACTTAGGTGACGAGGGGTAAATTTAACTAAACAAACAAGACACAACAACTCAACAATCAAGAGAACACACAGAGTATGCCACAAGGTACCTGCAGTCCTAGAAGATTACTAGTGACAACCTAGGCACTCAGAAGGACCCATCAATCTAGGCATCTCCTGTGCTAGCAACAACTATGGTGAAAGTGTGTGAAGTCATCAATATCAAGTAAACAGCAAACAGCAAACAGCAGATATAGATGACTAGTCAACCACCAAGAACACAAACCCAGAAAAATTTACAGATATGCAAAACAGATTTTGTTTACCCAGAAACCCACCATTGGGAAAAACTGGGAGTCATCAACCGACTAGGCAATCCACTAAGTAGAAAAAGATTCTTACAAAGGAATACAAGCAAGCTCAAGCAAAACCTAGATCTATTTAGGAAAATGAACTATACCTCCTTTGTGCAATCTTCTTCTCCAACTTAGCAAAGCTCAAAACTCAGTTCATCATGGCAATGGCAGCTCAGGCACTAGCTTGCAAGCTCCAACTCAAACCAAAACCAAACTTTGGATTCAAGGGGAAAAGACCAATTTCTTCAAGAAACCATACTCTTGAAGAAATCAATCACGAATCCGATCTAGATCTATATGAGAGAATGATTTAAATAGCTAGATGCAGATTCATATTTCAAAAGCAGTTTTTCAAAAAGAAATCAATTAGAAAAACTCATAGATGAAATATGTGGTTTACTCTTTGAGGAAGAAGAAGAGAAAGATGGCAAGCCAATCTTTCCAAAACTCCCACACAAAAGAGACGACTTCCAAATGAGGAAATCTCTTGCTTTTACAGACAAAAGAATCCCTTAGGTCAGACTGACACATGGCAGCAGAGAGAGAAAATAGAATAGGACAAAACAGATGGTTAACCAGCTGGAAATCGCACTGAGCAAGGATGACTAGTCATCTTTTATGAAAACAGTTTTAATGCATGATATGCAATGCATGATTTACCTTTGTCAAATTGCTTGAACCTCCATAGGATAGATGAGATTTAAGAACACTTAGAGATGCTATTCTTAATCTAACTTTGAGCTTGATAAATACATACAAAAGTTATATTACAAAATTGTCAAGGGAAGCCAAAAGAATTAATCAAAGATTCATACATTAACAATAATAAACCCACATGAATGCATCTAAGTACTTGAGATTCAATGCAGTATTCTTTCAAGCATTTGTCCAATAGTTCCAACTTCCAAGGATTTGTCTTCATTTCATAGTAACCATGCCTAATCAGTTGCAAAGCAACCTCTCCGTAGTGGGCCTCTTGCTCGGGTCCTGATCAAGGCAACAACCCACCAAGTCTTTAAAGGCCTTAGAGAACTTCTTGCTCTTGTAATTATTGTCATGACGATTTTCATAATCCGAAAAATATTAAACGAAAAAAATATTAGACTAAGAGGTAGTTAGTCTCAACTTGAACTCAATGGCTGAAGCTTTTTCTATTCTCTTGCCATAAGAGAGATTTTGAAAGGGCACTCAACATGAGAGAGAGGTCCAGAAGTATTATGGGCATGGTCATGGAGAAGCATCCTATATTGTTAATGTAATGTTGCTGTCCAGCCGAAACATATTGGGCTTAAATTATGTTGAGTTTAGGCTAGGCTAGGTTCAACCCAAACTTGTTGGGCTTAGCTCTCGTCATTATCAAACACAATTATTGGTGAAATTTCTTCCATATTATGGTTCCACTCTATAGAACGCCTAATTTAAAAGATAGCAGTAGAATTCTCTAATGAATAAAAGAAAAGGGCATTGATTTGCAGATAAGTGGTAGCAAGTTCGAATCTCTATGACATCATAATAGTGTGTGTGAGAAACTCTCACCCTCATGTAGTTTAGACTATCATTTGTACTCGAAAAAGAAAAGAAAAGGACCATGACTTGCAAAGCAATGGTCTTAGGTTTGAACCATCTTGACACCTTGTAGTTGACTATTGCTTATATTAAAAAATAATAATAAGAACAATAAAAGCATACAAACCATATTATTAACTCAGAAAAATGGAAATATCATGGACACCGGCCATGGCCCTATTGGCCTTGCTACATGAAAATAATAGAACCCAAAAAATAGAAAATCAAGGAAACTACGGCAGAGAGTAATGTGACTGATGGTGGAATGCGACCCCTGTCTTTCCTTATCAGCATCCCTTCAATGATAGGGTAGTTCATCAAAATGACATAAAAGGGTATGAATACTTGTATGAAAAATTTGTCCAACTCCCCTAAAAATATGACTTTAGAAATCCCAACAGCAAAGGAAGCCATGTTCAAGATCACCAAAGCAGCCATTGGAGCAAGAAATAATATTGATGTTTGGAAATCAAACACCCCCATATTGTAACGCTTGAGTTGCTCAACATCGTCAACTTTGTTGGTTGGGAAGAAACTGGCTTCTCTCATACCAATTTTCTTCATGAAGGCATCCACACTACCATATAAGTGAGATGTAACTGACTTCATCATCCATATCCTTTGCTCATTTATCCAATGTTGAAATGTAAATCCCGTTGAGAGAACCTCGTATAAATGTTTCAAAATCGACGATAGGAATACGAACGAAAATACGATGAAGTATGAATTTGAGACCTGCAAATCCAAGAACGAGACCAATATATATTAGGATATTGCATGACACTAAATCAATTGAAGATTTTATGATGAGAATTATTTTTTTATGAGGACAGTAGAATAGAATGGATGACTATAAGATAAATATTTATATTATCAGATTGTCAGACTGTCAGACTGTCAGACTGTGTATGTGATCCACACACTCAATCAAGACTAAACCTACATGCACTAGTAAAAATGACCTCAATATTCACGGATGTTTAATGTTTATTGTCCTCTAAATGAGCATAGATACATGTCCCTACTTATAATTGTTTGTGTCATTTAGTTCGTATAGGAACCCATATATGTGCTCAATTAGGGGCCAATAACAATCAAACATCCATAACTATTGAGGCTTTTAATTGGTGTCAATAGTTCAGATTCACAGTCTTTGTTGTCAGATAGCGTGACAAAAGATAGATTTGTTTTATTATGTACAAGGATTTCCTTAAAGATAAGTACTCTTTATCTTGAATCATTTGCGCAAAACATATTTGATAGGAAGAAATATTTTTTAAAAAAAACTTTAATTACCTCTGGGTACAAAGGAATACCATTGAGTAGGCAGAGCTGAGGTATGGTAGCAAAGCACCACAACGGCAAGAAATAGAAAATGGGGAAAAGAGCAAGTTCTGCATAACACATGCTTTGAACGAAAGTGTACGTTTTCAAAGGGCCATATATAAGAGGACAAAACTTGGAGATAGCAACATCAACCAACCCAGAGGTCCATCTAGTCCCTTGGACTAAAAAGTCATCCAAATTGGTGGTGCCACTGCCCAAGAACTGTGGCCTTGGTGGATTAAAATACACTGAAATCCAACCTTTGCAATGCAAGCGAAACCCTGTCAAGTAATCTTCCAGCACAGACCCATACATGAAACCAACCTGCCATAAATGAAAGAAAAGACCACAATTATTATTATTATTAATTAAGTTGAATGATTCAATGGGTATGGCTTAATAGTATTTGTACTTGCCTCTTCCCCCCATTCGGTGCCATTTTCGAAGGCACAAGAGGCTAGAAGTTGGGCTTCATTTAGCAATGCTTTCTTTCTGTGGATGAGCATATCAGGTTTTTTGTTTTGGTGGAGGGATTTGATGAACTCATTGGATGGACCAAAAGATTGTCTAAGTTTCATGGGATCCCCATCTGGAAATTCAATATTGAAACTAGTAATTAGCAATAGAACATACAAGAAAGATAAATGTACATGGATGATTACAAATACACGCTTATATAATGTCTAAGAATATATACTATTAATGGATAAGGGGTTCGTAGCTCAAATATAGTTAAGCGCAGAGCATTTACCCTGCACCTGATGTCCTAGGATAAACTTGTCAAGATAATAACAATTTAATTTTTATGGGTGATTGCAGATTGGTGTTTTCTTTTTCAAACCATAGCATTCCTTGAAGCAAAGATTAATACAATCAAACTGAAATGATTGGTGTTGATGAGTTGACAAAAACTGGGTGATTGACTGTTTGGTATTTATTAAGTGTGAGCCGCAGTGGTACAACAAAGACAATGACACATATGAATTATATGATATATATATATATATATATATAT